TGTGGGCTCGATCCCCAGTGAGGGGTGTGCAGGAGGCAGCCAATCAAAGATTATCTCTCATCATTGATGCTTCTCTCTCTTCTTTCCTCTCTGAAATCAATAAAAATATTATTTAAAAAAAAATAATGAGAGAGAATCACCCATCGGCCGCCTCCCGCACGCCCCCCACTGGGGATCGAGCCCACAACCCAGGCACGTGCCCCTGGCCGGAATCGAACCCAGGACCCCTCAGTCCGCAGGCCGACACTCCATCCACTGAGCCAAACCAGCCAGTGCCTGTTTACAGTTTTATTTGCGTCTTTTCTTAGTTTAGCTAAATGTTTGTCAATTTTGCTTATCTTTTCAAGAAACCAACTCTTAGTTTTATTGAACTTTTTATTGTTTTTCTATTCTTAATTTCTGTTCTGATCTTTATCTCCTTCCTTCTGCTAATTTTGGGTTTAAACGTTATTCTCCTTTTTCTAAATCTTTGAAGTGTATTTTTTTCTGGTTTATTTTTCTGGTTTAGGTTAATTCCCATGAACAACATATTCTGTATTGTGTGGCAAACTCCGATTCTCTATATTTATTGAGAGCATTTAACTGTTTTTATTTATTGTACCACCACCACCTCGCGTTATAGTTGTCATTCACCAGGTTCTCCCTGCCCGATCGGACTCGCCCATGACCCGCCTTCTGTGCGCAGCTTCCTGGGGAGGCGTCACTAGGTGTGCGTGTCGGTCTCCTGCAGCGGAGCCCAGCCTTGGTCAGCATCAGCCATCCGCGCCCGTCAGGGTGCCATTACAGATGACCTTTGTAAGCATTCTTCTTCTTCTTTTAAAAAAAATTATGATTCTGGAATGAACTTCCCTACGTGTTCTTTCTGCTCATTCCAGGCCCCCACCCACCACTTCCTTCCCTCCGACCCGAACCTGAACTCATCGCGTATCCTAGTCCCTCTCAGGGGCTCCGTGCTCCCACTTGGGAACTGTCACAGGTGTGTCCCTAAATGATGACAATAAGCCAAGAGCGCCTCTGCCCCCACTTCCCAGAGGAAGAGCGGGAGGGACCCCTGGAGGCCCGGCGCCTCTGGCCTTTGCAGGACTCGCTGCTGGAGGCACAGCTTCGTGTCCGTGTCACCCCTGACCAGCAGCCCTCCCTCCCTCTGTCCTCCCTCCCTGTCCTCCCTCCCCCCTGTCCTCCCTCCCCCTGTCCTTGCTGAACAGCCAGAGGAGGTCTCCCCCAACAGCTCCAACCTCTCGTCTTATTCAATCCATGAGAGCGGAATTGTAATATGTGGTAGAAAATAAATGCCCAGAATGAGGTCTAGGTTGTAAGATTCTTGTTAGATGGATGGTGAGCTCCATGAAAAAAATAGCATTTTTCAGGGTCTTGGGGAACAAATACAATTTGGAATCCCAGGCAGACAGAACGAAGCCACCAAAGATGTCCTGGCTAGAAAGTGCCTCCCACACTCTAGAGGAAAGGCTCCGCGACAAGGCCCCCTCTCCGAGCGGCAGCTGTGCCTCTGCAGTGGGGGAGGGAGAGAGGCAGGTGAGTAGCTGGGGAGCAAGGCTGGAAGGTGGCCCTGAGGCGGAGAGATCCTGAGCGAGGCGCTCACACCCTAGAGGAGCGCAAGGCCAGCTTGCCAGGCGCCAGGAATGATCACCTGGAGGAAAGGAAGAGCCGTGATGAGAAAAATGTTTGTACAATTTTATGGTGAAAGGCAGAGTGAGAAGACAGCCCCATGTCCTGATACGTAGCTCGGAGGGTTGTTGTGAAGAATCAATGAGCTAATAAGTGTAAAGCAGTTACAACAGTATCTGCCTCATAGCAACCACGGGACCCATGTGAACTAGCCCCAACACAAGGCAGGAAACACATATAAAGGAAATACATAGGAAGCGGACATCAGGAAAGGACATCAGGAAACATTGAAAGCACAGATGAGTGAGGCTCAGACGCACAACCAGAAATATTTATCGGGGTCACAGAGAAGTACACGTGCAGCTCATTGAGCCAAGTCCTTCACAAGCACGCACGTACATGCACACGCACACACACACGCGCACACACAACGCACACACACACGCGCGCGCGCGCACACACAATGCACACACAACGCACACGCGCGCGCACACACAACGCACACACGCGCGCACACACACCACTCCACTCTGCAGGTGAGGAGACTGGGGCCTGAAGGAGTCATGACTCGGCCCTGGTCGCTCTGGTTCATCACAAGGCAGGTGAGAGCCCAGGCGTCCTGACCCCTGACCCCTCACAGAAGATGCTGATGGAAATAAGAAGCAACTAACAAAAGACACCCAGAGAGTGCAGGGGCGACGGGTGCTGAGGGCCAGCTGCATCGGCCTGGCCTCCCAGCTCTAATCTCGATTCTCCAGCATTTCAGTTTCTATTTTGAAGTTAGCTGAAAAGACAGGGTCTCTAGAAACAACCCACAAAGCCTCCAAATCTGAAACACAATATTACATAATCATATCCCTAAAATGTACATTTGAAAATAACGTCTCAAAGAAAATGGAAAAAGTAGAAAAGACAACCACACACACAAAAAAACGTTTTGTGGAATGACAAAAACAGGATATTGGTAAAACTTCCAATTTTTCACTCTCAAATGCTGTAAATGATGTAATTTTGGTGTGTCCTGCTTGTCCCGAGAGTCTCCTGGTCTATGGAAAGGCAGATGAGGAGATCTCGCTGGGAGAGGGAGATACGTTATTTGCAGATACATCTGAGGTCTGGTTACCACCAGGTTGGACTGTGTTCCTGGTTAAACAGCTGGTTAAACATATGAACTTCAACCAGCACCACAGCACCAGCTACTGTTGGGTCTCCTCATGGAGCAATCATTTGAGAACCCAGGGATGGAGAAAAGAAAGGAAGAGGGTTTGGGAAATAACATAAATGTAATTTGTAGTTTTCAGAGAAAAGAATCCAATGAAAATAAAATTGGTGTTCTGAGTTTGAGGCTCTAAACAGGCGCTCTGTAAAAAAGAAATCGATTATAGAAATGTGAAACTATCATAATCTCAGTTGCACACTTGGAAAAAATAAGGATGTCTAAAATAGAACTTTTTTTCGGCCTACCAACTGAAAATTGATATTTTCATTATGCTTTGGGTCAAGGGTTGATTTGTAAATACTAGGTAAGCTCTGCTCCATGAGTTAAAAAGAATTCTCCTATATAAATCTTCTGAGAGTGTAAAAGCAAGAAAAATGTACCCAGGCATTTTTTTAATCGCAGCAGAGAAGGGCCTCTGGGTCTCCTCTCCTGCATGCTGTAACAGCGTAGCCATGTTCTGACATTCTGGGTCCAAACAAACCAAAGGACTTTTGTTGCAGGGAGGTCTGGAGAGAGCATCCTATATAATAAAGAGCCAATATGCAAATGGTCGCTATGCCCTCGCGCCCTCACGCCCTCGAACCAGGGCCGGGGGACCTGAGGCCGTGCCCCCCGCCCAGTGGGGCTTGATGGGGGACCTGAGGCAGCACCCCTTGCCCTACGGGGCTTGACGGTGGGGCCAGCTGGGTCTGGATCTCATGCAATTTCAAGGTGTGCATGGGTGGGCGGGGACTTGACTCTGGGTCCTGCGGCGCACCCCAGACTCTGACAGGAGGGAGATTTTCATATACATTTGACTAATTTTCTTTCATCTCTGACACTTCTATCATAAAGGGCAAATAGCAATATTAAAATATTTCCTCTAATTAATCCCCTTGTAATGTACACGAATTTTGTGCACCGGGCCACTAGTCTATATATATAAAAGGCTAATATGCTAAGTGTCCCTCCACCCATCCGACCGGTCACTATGACATACACCAGTGATGGCGAACCTATGACACGCGTGTCAGAGGTGACACGTGAACTCATTTTTTTAGCTGATTTTCTTTGTTAAATGGCATTTAAATATATAAAATAAATATCAAAAATATAAATCTTTGTTTTACTATGGTTGCAAATATCAAAAAATTTCTATATGTGACACGGCACCAGAGCTAAGTTAGGGTTTTTCAAAATGCTGACACGCCGAGCTCAAAAGGTTCGCCATCACTGACATACACTGACCACCAGGGGACAGACACTCAACGCAGGAGCTGCCGAGCTGCAGTGACTTGGCAGTGGCAGTTCTCAGGTGACGCACCTTGAAACCAGAGAGGGAGCCCGATTCCTTGCGGGGCCGTGCGATTCTACCTTCAGCCGTGGGCTATGTTGTTGCTGGGGCACTGTCGGCCTCGAATCTGGTTTACTGCATGCTTGTGTTTGCGTTCCACACCCTGTACGACAGCAGCTTTGCAGAGTGCCCTCTCACACTCCGGGACCCCTTCGAGGATGTCAGAAAGCCTGTTATGTCCTGATCCCTGCAGGCCAGGCCGAGGGACCCCATCTGCCAGAGGGACCCTACTTACTCTGCAGACACCCTTCGAGCCATGGTGCCGCCCCAGGTGCAGCCGGCTGGGGAGGGACCTCAGGAGGTTGGCTCCAGGGTGTGTCCAGCCCGTCTCGCCCAGCCCCGCCAGCCACCTTCTAATTAAGTTCCTTTCAATGTGCACGAATCCGTTCACCGGGGCACTAGTATAAAATAAGAACACTTTACTAATTTCTACAGTCCATACTGTTCGTACTCCTTCTGGGATTTGGATCTGGGCCCATCCTACTCTCCCCTTCCTCATCTCCCCCCACAGTTCCTACCTTTGGATCCACACTGACCTTTAATTACGCTCAGTGAACTGAAGCCCTCAGCTCCGAGTCTGGCTGACTAGACTCTAGTCTGCGCTTTGTCACTAGCCACAGGTCACTTCTCTTTGGTCCTTGGTTGCCTCCTATGCAAAATGCTCAGACCACGTGACCTGTGACAGCAGAGTCTGTGCCTGCCGAGCTGGGGGCAGGGGAGATGCAGGTGTTGGCCTGGAGTGGACGCGGGCCCTGGGTACACACAGACGGCAGCATTCTGGAGCCTCGGGTGGAGCTTCCAGTGCCTGAGCATTGGCAACTGCTGCCCCGACTGCACAGACACAACCTCCCGGGAAGCGGCACAGGCCACCCAGGCCGAGCGGTGCGACAGGCCAGGAGCAGCTGGCTCACAACCAGCCTGTCCGCATTCAGAAGTGCGTGAAGGATCAGCCGCGCACCTGCGCCCAGGCTCCAGCGCGACCTCCTTTTCCCCGCAAGGCTTGCTCCCTGCAGCCCCGACAGGCCAGGGCTGCCGAGGACACGCAGGGGCCACGGCCGCCACGCCCGGAGCCTCCAGCAGCCAGCCGGAACGGCACTGCGGAAGGTCGGTGAAGTGCGGAGGCCGGGCCCACGGGAGGCAGACGCCGCCCTTTCTAACACGCCGATTGCAAGAACACGCTGGGCCTTCGGTGTGGTTGCCACTAGGACGTCTCACCTCTGACTGAGACAAGGTCCGTGAGCAAAGCAGTCTGACAACTGCCTGTGGGTGGCGTTTCCAACTCCCACCTGTACCCCACGGCACACGCCGTACGGAGGTTTTCTTCTCACTCCCCAGAAGCACGTGACCGAGGTCCCTGCCCCACGACCCACAGCACAATGAACGGAACTGATTTAGCGCCGGCCCTTCTCTCCACTGCCAAGCGCATGGGCCTCCGTGTGCCTTCCGAGCAGTGGACACGTG